CCTGCTTACGAGTCCATCTGTGGGCGGATGGGGTAACTGGGTGATGGGTATTAAGGAGGGCACGTGTTGTGATGAGCACTGGATGTTATGGGCAACTACTGAATCATTGAACACTACATCAAAAACTAATGATGTACTATATGTTGGCTATCTAAACATAATAATAAAATTTTTTAAAAATCAGGCTATGTTTGGAGAGGCAAAATGTAGGTAATAAAGAATTGCATTAAAGAGCACCCAGTTGTTGGGGCACCTGGGTGGCTCAGTTGGTTAAACATCCGACTCTTGGTTTCAGTTCAGGTCATAATCTCATGGTCATGGGATTGAGCCCCGTGTCAGGCTCTGCGCTCAGCATGGAGTCTGTTTCAGATTCTCTCTCCTTCTCACTCTCTCTCTCTCAAATAAATAAATAAAGTATTTTTTTAAAAAAGCACCCAATTGCTTTCACATACTGTTTGACCCACTCTGTTTATCAGAAGCTCCCTAGGGAAGTTATCCTATAAAGCTCTGTTGTGCTTTTATAACATGATAGAAAGCTTGTGGAAAGTCTCATCAGAAAGTTCAATAAAAGTATAAACATAGAAAAATTCCTGCTTCTTCCCCCAAATTAATTTTGTGTAAAAAAAAGAGATATATTAGTTCCTATCTATTAGAAATGCCACTACTAATGCATTTGTTCCCCAATCTCCAATGTTCCCTTTTTAACAAATGAGTCACTTTTTCTTTCAACATACTTCTTAAGCAGTTTATGCCAGTTTCCATACAAGGGGTTTTCAGATGGAGAGGTCAGTCATGAAGCTGGATGCTATTATTTCAAGCTTTGCCAAGCTAGAGGCAGAAATGTGGGTGTCATGACCGTATAAATAGTTGCTGAGACAACAGAAGTGGGCAAAATCATCAAGGGAAGGGGAGAGACAGAGAGAGGGAGCACTAACAAAGAAGGAGTATTCTGATTGGAAAAAGAAAAGGAAGAGTGTGCTGTTTTGGAAGATCATTGAGGGGAAAGTTTTGATAATGAATTGGTCCACAGTGCCAAATACTGCTGATTTCAGTTAGGATCAAGACAGGGTCATTCACACCAAGATTAGGTGATATAAAGGATCGATGACCCTGATGACAGTGGATTGAGTAGACTTGGGAGAGAAGAAATGAAGAGTATTCTGTGTTGAAGAATAAACATGAGTATGAGAAGATCAGTAAGTCTAAAACACTCTCAAAAGATTAGCTGTGTAAGAATGTGAAGCTAAATGGTGGTAACTAAAAGTTGGAGATGGAAAGGAGAGGCTCTGGCAACCTGACAAGAGACCCATGTCTAAAAAGAAAAAATAGGCAGTGAAAAATCGCCTTCTCTGGGAAATGCTGATTCATTTTTAGGAAGAGTGATATCTGCCATTGGATATACAGTTATGTCCAGCCCTATGTGATAATTGCATTCTGCTACTCCCTAACCTTTAGAAAGGTCTGCTATGAGAAACCACCTGCTGTTAGTGTAAAACTAGGGGAATGAAAGAACAGTGATGAAAGCTAGCAAAGGACAACACTTACATGAGCAGGTTAAGGCAGAAAAGCAATCAACTGTATTGACTGACTCAGCAATAAATATGCTAGAAACCACTTTTCCTACATAAAAAGAAGATGTGACCACTGGGATGGAGGGCAGATATTGGGCGCTACATGAAATCTGTAGAAAATACTAATGCTTCCTGATTTGCCTCCTTGCCACAAGAATCTGATACATGATTGAAACAGCAAAGCAGAGACACATGGCTTCATTCTTTTATATATTCCTAATGTCTTATAAATTTGAAAAGTACTGAAAATCACATGCAAAATGTCTAAATTAATCAATCCTATGCAAATCACAATAAGAAATAAATATACTTGCAAAGTACTAAAGGGGTAAAAAAAAATAGTGAGACGATTTAAGTGGTGACTGTTGGTGGGGAGGCAAACTGGTGCAGCCTCTCTGGAAAACAGTATGGAGGTTCCTCAAAAAGTTAAAAATAGAACTACCTTACCACCCAGCAATTGAACTACTAGGTATTTATCCAAAGGATACAAATATAGTGATTTGAAGGGCATATGCACCCCAATGTTTATAGCAGTAATGTTCACAATAGCCAAAATATAGAAAGAGCCCAGATGTCCATCAACAGATAAATGGATAGAGAAGATACAATAGAATATTACTCAGCCATCAAAAAGAATGAAATAGTGCCATATGCAACATGTGGATGGAACTAGAGTGTATTATGCTAAGCGAAATAGGTCAGAGAAAGACAAATACCATATGATTTTACTCATATGTGGAATTTAAGAAACAAAACAGATGAACATAGGGGAAGGGAAGGAAAAATAAAATAAGATAAAAACAGAGAGGGAGGCAAACTGTAAGAGACTCTTAACTATAGGAAATAAACTGAGGGTTGCTGGAGGGGAGGTGGGTATGGGGAAGGGATAACTGGGTGATGGATATTAAGGAGACCACTTGATGTAATGAGCACTGGGTGTTATATGCAACTGATGAAGTGCTGAATTCTACCTCTGAAACTAATAATACAGTATATGTTACCTAACTGAATTTAAATAAAAAATTTAAAAAAAAAAAAGAGAAGAGAAAAGCTTTGGGAGGGTTTCAAGAAGGTGAGTGGCTGAGGAAAATTTGCTTCCTGAGCAAGAACAATGTGTCCCAAGCCTGGGAAAGACATGGCAGAGGGTTAATTTGGGGGTTTTTATGGCTACTATTAATTGACGTTTCTTAACAATTTAATGGGCTTCTAAGAAAAACCCAATATGTAACAGTAAACAAAGAAAGAGAGAAACTCCTTTTCTAGTATAAATACTTAAGGCACTTTGAGGCAGGAAAGACTTTGAGAGGCATCAGGACATTTCTGAAAGTTTCAGTATTAAAACAGTTCAGCCAAAATTTTATTCATTAATTCACCTGATTTTTACTTAATACATTCTATGTGCCAGACATTTGGCACATAAGACAGGTTTCATTCTTGCCATTATGGGGTTTATTTATATTCTGAAGGAGCAGAAAAAAACAATGAGAATGCCTGGTGCTCCATGTTTTCGTTACTATGACTGCATAAACAATTACCCCAAAACTGAGTGGCTTAAAACAATAACAAACTTTATTTTGTGCATCAACCTGACATCTGCTGAGGACTGAGGTGGTACAAAGGTTAGGAGTTGAAGTCATCTGAAGGCTGACGTGTCTGATGTTTGAAGGTGGTTGTCAATTGAAACTTTTCTGGAACCGTTGGCTGGAAAAATTATTTGTGGCCTCTCAATATGTCCTGGGATTCCTCAGATCATGGAGTACGGGTTCAGCCCCAGCAGTGAGAGATGAAAAAAAAAATCTGTATGTCCCCTTTGGACTTAGTCTTGGAAGTCACACAGCATTATCCCTTTCAGCACATTCTATTCATTGGAACAGTTAAAATGTCCACCAATATTTAGGGAGAGGGGAAATAGACTCTACCACTTGATGAGAGGTTACAAGGTTCTAAAAGAGATTTTGTGAACTGAATCCCTGAAAACTAGAAGAGACCTAGCATATGCACACTTCAGCTCACTAAGGGGATGGCACCAAGCAGGGGAATTAGGGAACCTAGAGATTAAAAGTGTTCACCAAATGTGTATGCATTGAATACATGTTATTTTCATATGACATACTCTTCTTTAAAACTTGTAATGGCCTTTGTAAAAATGATTTATATAATTTATTATACAGTATATTTTAATATACAGTACTTTACTCTCATTTATTAGGCAATTGAAGTAAATACATAAACTACTATCAAACAGAAATCCATAGTGGGTTTTTTCTTTTTTTTTCTTTTTTTCATTTCCTTTAATTTAAATTTTAAATTTTTATTTTTTTAAATTTTATTTTACTTTATTATGTTATGTTAGTGGTAGTTAACATCAAAAACACATCATAGACTTCTGGTTTCCCATCTGACATGTAAAGAGTTTAAAAATCATCAGTCCTCAGGGGCACCTGGGTGGCTTAATCGTTAAGCATCTGCCTTTGGCTCAGGTCATGATCCCAGCGTCCTGGGATCGAGCTCCGCATCGAGCTCCGCATCGAGCCCCGCATCGGGCTCCCTGCTCTGTGGGAAGCCTGCTTCTCCCTCTCCCACTCCCCCTGATTGTGTTCCCTCTCTCACTGTGTCTCTCTATCAAATAAATAAATAAAATCTTTAAAAAAAAATAAAAATCACTCCTCTCCTCACAAGAAGAAAAATGCCGAACAAATTGAAAAACAATTCTTAGAGCCATCAAAGAATTGCTTTCATAGGGAAAACTGCTGTCCTGAAACAAAGAGATAGGCCAATACAGAAAGTTTATTTACCAGAACTAAACTTAGATTTTTGCCAAACAAAACACTAGAACAAAAGAAGAAATATATAATTGAGTGAATTGTTCTTTTTTGTATTTTTCTTTTTTTATTAAGATTTTATTTATTTATCTTGGGGGAGCACATGCAGGGGGAATCAGCAGAGGGAGAGGGAGAAGCAGGCTTCCTGAGTAGGGAGCCTAACGCGGCACTCCATCCTAGGACCCTGGGATCATGACCTGAGCCCAAGGCAGGCATTTAACCGACTGAGCCACCCAGATGCCCCTCTTTTTCATATTTTACTAAAGGAAAAACAAACAAACAAATACACAGCTACTACTCTCTAGAGCTGAGGACCAAGAAGAAGGGAGGTTTGGAAAAGAAAGTATTGTGTACCCAGAAAACCTATCTTCTTCATAACTTTCCATTTCACTGGCTCTGGGAGGGTCCTGGAAACAGGAGAGAGGAAGAAATTACTGTAGCTAAAATAGATGTTGTTAAAGAAAAATCTGTGTCCATGTGTCAGATTGTCCAATTTTTGCCACATCAAATTTTTTAGATTTCTTACAACTGATAACAGTGCTGTTTGCCCCAAACTTACATTTTCCTGAAACATAAGATTAGTGGGTTTAAAAGTAAACATTTTATAGTGCTAGCTTTGAAAGCACACGTACTAAAATTGGAATGATGCAGAGAAGATTAGCATGGCCTCCGTGCAAGGATGATATACAAATTTGTAAAAGCATAACTTTATATTGTTTTTTCCTATAGTTTTCATTTGAAGTATCAATTCTGATATTAACTAACAAATGTTGACTCTCAGATGACTATCATAGATGGACATATGGATGAGGTGACTCAGGTTTAAAAATACAAAGGACATGCAGAAAATGGCAAAGCATTCTCCGTGAAATCAACGTTTCGACATTCTCTAAATGGTTTCTTGTATCTGCGGCTGTAACAGCTTCTGGTCAGTGAAAAGTAAACCATAAGAGAGAGAAAGATAAAACAAGGCAGTTTCCATTGATGGCAGTAGCTATGCTATGCCCGGGATGTGTCATCTTTACTGACACTTAAAAGGCATATATAAAAACACTTAATGTGTTTGGGTTACTGTTGATGACGGATTGTCACCAAGTCTATCTTCTGTGTAATTTCTTCTCCAAGTTCATCTTAAAAGACAGATGCTTCAGGTATTTTGGGACTTACAAATGTAATGGGTTACTATTTTTCTGTTGCAACTGGTGTTTCCAGAATGATAGTGTAAGTGTTCAGAATAGCTAATGTGATGGAAATCTCTGAAATTGTAATTATGTGCTTTGATTCTGTTTATAAAGAAATGAATTTGGTGGCATCAGTTTCTTAAAATAGACAAAATGTCCACTGGGGAGGGTATGTGCTCTGGTAAGCGCTGGGAATTGTGCAAGACTGTTGAATCTCAGATCTGTACCTCTGAAACAAATAATGCAACATATGTTAAGGAAAAAAAAAAAAGAAGAAGAAGAAGAAGGTAGCAGGAGGGGAAGAATGAAGGGGGGGAAATCGGAGGGGTAGATGAACCATGAGAGACGATGGACTCTGAAAAACAAACTGAGGGTTCTAGAGGGGAGGGGGGTGGGAGGATGGGTTAGCCTGGTGATGGGTATTGAGGAGGGCACGTTCTGCATGGAGCACTGGGTGTTATGCACAAACAATGAATCATGGAACACTTCATCTAGAACTAATGATGTAATGTATGGGGATTAACATAACAATAAAAAATTTAAAAAAAATAGACAAAATGTCACAGGACTGTAGTGCATACTTGTTTGGAAATACAGATAGTAGGAGTTAGAATTGCTCCTAACCAGATAGCTTCATGAGTAGGCACTGATGGGAAATAAGCAATTTTTTCCTCACATTTGCCTTACCCATATGTGATTAATCTTGAAGCCACTGGGACTAGTGATATGGAAGATTTAGGGACATAGGTATTTATTAAAATGAGCCCTTGCATTGACATCCTATTTTGCCACTTTGGATCGTCTTAGTTTAAACTTATCTTATTTCTTGACTCTCATGCTTTATTTAAATTTCCAGTCTTTTCAAATGTAGTTTGTCCTTTCAACACTCTATCTCTACCCATGTGACAAAGATTTAATCATCTTTTGAGCCACTGCTTTGATATCACTACCACTTAGCCCAGAAATGTCTTCTTTCCACCAGATCTGGGTTAGGTACCCTTCCTTTAGTGCCCTTCCTTGTCTATCTCTGTGAGGTGTGTTCAAAACTCTCTCTATTACCATTTTATTATTACTATACTGTATAAATTATTTATTAGTTTTACTATTTGAAAGGTATGAGAAAGTGATTTTTTATCATTGAGTATTAGAGAAAAGATTTACTTCCTGTGAGGGTTATTACTTATTTTTTTTTTCTCTCTGAGTTTCAAACTACTTGGTGGTATCCGTTTTCTATAGCTGCCATAATAAATTACCACAAAGTTAAAACAACACAAATTTGTTATTTTACAGTTAGTAATGTTCTATTTTATAGGTCAGAAGTTAGAAACAGGTCTCATTGGGCTAAAGTCAATATGTTGGTAGGCTCTGCCCTTTCTGGAGATTCTGGGAGAAAATCTGTTTCCTTGTATGTTTCCTTGTTCTGTTCCTGTGCTCTTGGTGTCAGATTCAGAAAAACCATTGCCAAGTCCAATGTCAAGATTTTCTTCTAAGTTTCTTTCTAGGAATTTTGTAGTTCCAAGTCTTATATTAAATCTTTAATCCATTTTGAGTCTATTTTGGGATATAGTGTTAGATGGGGGTCCAATCTCTTTTTCTTAAATATAGATAACCAGTTTTCCAACTCTATTTGTTGCGGACACTGTCTTTTCCTCATGGGGTATTCCTAACACCCTTGTCAAAGATCAGTTGACTGTTTTTGTATGGATTTGTTTCTGGGCTCTCTGGAAAGTAGCTGGGCTTTTATGTTTAGGTGATAAACATAAATGGGGAGTAACTGCATTATTTCTGGCTAGTTACTGTCTTTCAAAAAAGAGATTTGTTGATAAAGACATGTAATGTAAATGTAAAATAAAGATTTCCCTTTTATATAGTAATTTTACCTTATAAAGCACTTTCAGGGTATCTTAATTTTCACAACTACTGACACTACAATCCCCACTTAAAAATGAGAAAACTGTGACTCTGAGACTAGCTAATATGCCAGAATTATGGCTTCCTTAAAGATCATTCTAGGTCTCATTTTTAATACTACTGACTCTTTAAGAAGATTTTTTTTCCTTCTTTTTATATTACTTGGTTGTAAATGTCATGTAAAAGTGACATCTGGGGGCTTAGTCTTAACTGCCCCTTGCCCCTGATAGTGACAAATGCTCTGAGGTTGTCTTATTTTAGGATGTTTTGCAGAAGTCACTTCTGCAAAGGCTGCAAAACAGAATGCTAGTGTGGTTCCATCTAAGCTGAAAAGTAGGATGTTAGTACTGTTTTATCTTAGCTGTCCTGACTCCATATCTTCTTGTTGGGGACCCTGGTCCTGACTAACTGTCCAACTAACTCTTAACAAATCAACTGATCAACAAATCAGGGGGAAAATGTGTATTTAAGGAGAAATTATTTTTATTGTCCATAAAAGTAGGATGGGAGGAAAGAACAGTTGAATAGGAATTGACAAAGAGAAATGACCTTGACTACAACCTCAACTTGCTTCTTAATATTATTCAACTATTTATAACTAGTTACTCCTAAAATTAATATTGATAAATGTAATAATGTTTTAATTGCATTTTCATTGCTGGATTTTATGAAAGATGAAACATGAGAGTACTTACTGATTATTAAATTAACTTAGCAGTTACCCTTGGCTTCCATATATAAGAAAAATACCTCTATCAATAGTAATAAAGAATCACTTAATATTCTTACCACATCAAGGGTCCAAAAACAAATATGTAGGGTTCTTTTGGGGTGATATTCAGACTATGAAAGACAGTACCGTTTGATACTGGTTGAATGGAACCCTGAGTTAGATCACTTACAGATGTGCCCTTAATTGTGGAAAATAACAGTTATAGTTGTGGAAATGATAACTCAATTTTAAAAAATAACTTTCAATGACTGAAAATGACATAATTCTCCAGAGAACACCGAAGAAAGTCATTCAACAAGACCACCTGTGGAGTTAATGCTCAAGATGTATTTGTCATCCCCCATTTAGCTCCTTTCATGTAAATGCTACAGAGAATTTTTTAAAGGATGGCATAAAGGCATATCAAAATCAAGTTACCAACAAAATTAATAATACATTGACTTAAATTGTGATCAACAATAAAATGTCTTCAAGGAGGCAATCAGACAGCTCACTCAGCAGGAGTGTATCATGGGCTGCAAGCAGATTTGGGACTCAAGCTGCACTGTAATCACACATCTGAACATCAGAGGAGCTGTTTTCTGTTTAGAAAATTATTTTTCTAGATTATTCAAGGAATGGGTTGTTTACTAATGGGCTAGATTAGGCTAGATTATTCAAGGAAGGGGTTGTTTACTAATGATTTGCACTGTCCCTAAGTTACCAAAATCATTCATTTTACACTCAGGCCTTAAAAGTAAAATGCTATTATGCTATTTCATTATACTTTATAAAGGAAGTCACAAAGGTGTCTGCATGTGCACATTTTTCTTATTATGTTATGTTAATCACCATACATTACATCATTAGTTTTTGATGTAGTGTTCCATGATTCATTGTTTGCGTATAACAGGCAATGCACATTATTTTTGATATAATAAAGTGAATACTTGACATTAAAAATTCTGCATTTTTTTTCAACCAAAAACAAATTGACATTTGAAAATCTCTTCAAACCCTTGAGACCTAAGAGTGCTAAGATAACAAGACACACCTGATTCTAATGTTTCCATTGGGAGACCAGAAGTGTACTGTGTCTAAAGTGAATTTTTATAACCTAGCTATGATGGTTAATTTTATGTGCTAACTTAACTGGGCTAGGAGACACCTGGATATCTGCTAAAACATTATTTCTAGATGTGTTCTTAAAGAGTGTCTGAAAGAGATTAGCATCTGATTCAGTAGACTGAGTGAACAGATTTGTCCTCACCAATGTGGGCCAGCATTATCTAATCCAATGAGGACCTGAAAAGAACAAAAAGGCTAAGGAAGGGTAAATTCTCTCTCTCTCTTCTTGAGTTGGATGTCCACCTTTTTCTGCCCTGATATTGGAGCTCCTGGTTCTCAGGCCACAGACTCAGAGTGAATTATACCACCAGCTTTCCTGGTTCTCTAGCTTACAGATCATAGACTGTGGGATTTCTCAGCCTCCATAACCATGTCAGCCAATTCTTATAATAAATCTCCTCATATATCCTTCTGGTTCTATTTCTCTGGAGAACCCTAATACAGATTTTGGTACTGAGAGTGGGGTTTCTGTCTTAGTAAATTTGAGCTGCTATAACAAATAACACAAGTTGGGAAACTTATAAACAATAGAAAACAATAGAAATTTATTTTCTCATAGTCTGGACACTGGGAAGTCCAAAGTTGGGGTGCCAGCATAGCTGGGTGAGGGCCCTTTTCCTAGTTGATAGTTGGCATATTTTTGCTGTGTCCTCACATTGTGGAATAGGCAAGGGATCTCTATGAGGTCCTTTTACAAGAACACCAACTTCACTCATGAGGACTCTACCCTCATGCGCTAAGTACTTACCTCTCAAAAGCTCTACCTTCTAATAGTATCTATT